GACCGGCCCTTCTTGTCGATGATCCTGTCTGCTGCCGATCCGGAACCTGCTTCTTCGTCCTTAAGCGAATTGTCCGCGAAGGTGAAAATGGTCTTACCTTTCCACAGGATAATCATTGGTTTGTTTGCCTGGGATGTAAGTCTCCAATTGTCTTCTAGGATTTCTGGATCTCCACCTTTGGATGCATCTATGATTTCCGTGGTACGCTCTCGGCTGATGTTATCAGGATTGATTGGACATTCCTTGGCTCCATTTGGTGTGAACAGCGCCTTGCGAGGCGTGACGTGCACACGGATGAGCTGCTTGTTCTTCTTATCAAGGATCCAATGGTTCTGCTTTTGAGACCCAATGATTCTTGGAGTTGCTAGGTCCTCCTTCGTCTTGGATGATTTGGACGCACAAACAGTTTCACTCTTGGAGATATCCCCGGAGGGAAACTTGATGCTGTTGTCATCATCGTAGACGTAGTTGGTGAGGCCCTTGATGGCAATTTCTCCATGTGCTTTCACTCTTGCAACTCCAGCGAGGTCGACGAGTGCATGTCCTGTGCCGGATACTGGAACTGCTTGACGGTCCATGCCAAAGGCCTTGCGTGACGGCAACTTGCGTGTGATCTTGTCACATTGAGGTGTGTGCTTGATGGTCATGTAGAGGTTCCGCATCTGACTGATGCTGAGGAGGATCGGTACAGTTCCTTGTTCAAGGACGTCGATGTTGGTACTGCATGGAGGAGTTGTGTGATATCGGAGATGCAAGGTCCAATTTACCTTGGCTGTTTCTCCGTTTGCAAAAGTGAACTTGGTCTCCGCCGGGATGTACTGATAGGAGATGAGGTGCTTCATGGGTTCGATGGCCTGAGTAAAAAGCTGGATTGCATGCCAGCTGCCCATGGATCGGATCGCATAGGTCGGATTGTGCTGAGGGTTGATGACAGGCGCCATCAGCTTTGTTGCCAAAAGGCTGTGATTTGTTGTTACGGACAACTGTATCTGATTGGATCAGCTTCCCGTGGATGGCTTCTTTCTCATGCTGCTGATATGCGTCATGGAATGCCATTAGTGCTTGTCCTGTGCTGGATGTCTCATGGAATGAGTACCAGCCTTGTTCGTTCCATGTCCACGATTGATCCCAATCTTGGTCTGTCCACCTCCGGCTTCTCTGCGATGGCTGCGAACGTTTTGGATTTTCCTTTGTCATGTCCGCCTTTTCCTTTGCCATTCTCAGAGGATGGATAACCCTTGTTTCCGTCATAGGGATATTGGAATTTGGATTTTCCTTTCTTTCCCTTCTTTCCCAGAACCGCTTTTCGAAAGGGTTTGAAGCAATTTCCCTTTTCCTTTTCTCTTTTTGAATCTGAAATTCCGCCCTGACACTTTTCTTGCTATGAACGCATCGTTCTCTTCGAGGACCCAGAATGTCTCTTCATCGTTGTTTGACATGAATCCTTCAAGTCCATCTTCATCTTCAACCCAAAAGCCTTCTTCTCCTTCGTATTCACCTTGTTCGAGGATGAAGAATGGGTTGCTTCGGTTGCATCCTTGAGGTCGGATGGATGGATGTTGGATGGATGTCCTGGTCGTGATGAAGAGTTCATGGTAATGCGTCTTCAGCATCTCATAGGAGTAGTTCTCGAGTGAATGTTTCTCAGTGACATGGCACTGGTCAGTCTTTCCCTCTGCTGATCTGACAATTCACTGCGCAATGAGATTATCCCCGACTGCATTCCCGTGATACTGAGGAACTCTTGGTTCTGCCTTCTGTGATTGAAGAAACTGAGGAGCCTGTACAGATACACGTTGGTCGCACCTTTCAGGAATTACTTCTTCAGCGTGTTCTTGAAATAATTAACTCCTTCATCAGGATCTTGCAAAAGGTCATTTTGGAGGACTGCCTTGTACATGTAAGCATCTCCTGTGAGTCTGCTTTTGAGGAGTGGTCCTCTCTTGGGTGCTTCCACCGTGGTGATTGTCACCCAGTCGTCCACGAGTTCTTCATACCTGAGCCAGCTGACTTTTCCGTCGTACGAAGAAGGGGGAAAAATGTTTTCGGGGGGGGAACTGGGGAGAAGATCAAGGGGGGGGGGGAGGGAAAGATCTTGGGGGACAAAGGCCTCAGGGGGGAAAGAGGGGAAAGGATGTCAACCGGGAAAGGGGGGGAAAGATCTTAGCGAGGAAAAGGGAGAAGATCTCAGGGGGGGAAAGCCCTTAGAAGGAAAAGGGGGGAAAGGATCTCAACAGGGAACTGGGGGGGGACAGATCTTAGGGAGGAAAGGCAGAAGATCTGGAGAAAAAAGGGAAAGGGGAGACATGATCTCAACAGGGAAAGGGGTGGAAAAGATCTTAGGGAGGAAAGGGAGAAGATCTGGGGGACAAAGGCCTCAGCGGGGAAAGAGGGGAAAGGAGTCAACCGGGAAATGGGGGGAAAAGGGAGAAGATCTCAGGGGGGGAAAGGCCTTAGAAGGAAAAGGGGGGAAAGGATCTCAACAGGGAACTGGGGGGGGGGGGGAAGACCTTAGGGAGGAAAGGCAGAAGATCTGGGGAAAAAAGGGAAAGGAGAGAAATGATCTCAATAGGGAAAGGGGCGGACAAGATCTTAGGGAGGAAAGGGAGAAGATCTGGGGGAAAAAGGCCAACAGGGAAAGGGGGAAAAGATCCTAGGAAGGAAAAGGGAGAAGCTCTCAGGGGGGGAAAGGCCTTAGGAGGGAAAGGGGGGAAAGGATCTCAACCGGAAAAGAGGGGAAGGGTCTTAGGGAGGAGAAGGGAAAGGGTGGGAAAGATCTTAGGGAGGAAAGGGTGGGGAAAAAAGGGGAAAGGGGAGAAATGATCTCAACAGGGAAAGGGGTGCTGGGGGACAAAGGGGGGGGAAGATCTTAGCGAGGAAAAGGGAGAAGATCTCAGGGGGGGAAAGGTTTTAGAAGGAAAAGGGGGGAACGGATCTCAACAGGGAACTGGGGGGGAAAGATCTTCGGGAGGAAAGGCAGAGGATCTGGGGAAAAAAGGGAAAGGGAAGAAATGATCTCAACAGGGAAAGGGGTGGAACAAATCTTAGGGAGGAAAGGGAGAAGATCTGGGGAAAAATGCAAACAGGGAAAGGGGGGAAAAGATCTTGGGAAGGAAAAGGGAGAAGCTCTCAGGGGGGGAAAGGCCTTAGGAGGGAAAGGGGGGAAAGGATCTCAACAGGGAAAGGGTGGGAAAGATCTTAGGGAGGAAGGGGGGGGGGGGGGGAAGATCTTAGGGAGGAAAGGGAGAAGATCTGGGGGGGAAAGGGGGGAAAGGATCTCAACCGGAAAAGAGGGGAAGGGTCTGAGGGAGGAGAAGGGAGAAAGATCTCAGGGGGGGAAAGGCCTTAGCGAGTAAAAGGGGGGAAAAGGTCTCAACACAGAAAGGGTGGGAAAGATCTTAGGGAGGAAAGGGGGGGAAAGATCTTAGGGAGGAAAGGGGGAAGATCTGGGGGCAAAAGGCCTTAGAGGGAAAGGATCTCAACAGGGAAAGGTGGGAGAAGATCTTGGGCAGGAAAAGCGAGAAGATCTCAGGAGGGGAAAAGGCCTTAAGATCTCAGGCGGGGAAAGGCCCTAGGGGGCAAAGGGTGGAAAGGATCTCAACAGGGAAAGGGGGGAAAACATCTTAGGGAGGAAAAGGGAGAAGATCTTGGGGGGAAAGGGGGAAAGGATCTCAACTGAGGGAAAAGAAAGGCCTTAGGGGGGAAAGGATCTCAACAGGGAAAGGGGGGGAAAACATCTTAGGGAGGAAAAGGGAGAAGATCTTGGGGGGGAAAAGGCCTTAGGGGGGAAAGGGGGGGAAAGGATCTCAACAAGAAAAGGGGGGAAAAGATCTTAGGAAGGAAAAGGGGAAAGATCGCGGGAGGAAAAAAAGCCCTTAGAAAGATCTTAGGGAGGAAAAGGGAGAATATCTCAGGGGGGGAAAGGCCTTAGGGGGGAAAGGGGGGAAAGGATCTCAGCAGGGAAAGGGGGGAAAGATCTTAGGGAGGAAAGGGAGAAGATCTGGGGGCAAAGGCCTTAGGGGGGAAAGGGGAGAAATGATCTCTACAGGGAAAGGGGTGGAAAAGATCTTAGGGAGGAAAGGGAGAAGATCTGGGGGAAAAAAGGCCAACAGGGAAAGGGGGGGGGGGAGATCTTAGGAAGGAAAGGGAGAAGCTCTCAGGCGGGGAAAGGCCTTAGGGGGGAAAGGGTGGGAAGGATCTCAACAGGGACAGGGGGGAAACAATCTTAGGAAGGAAAAGGGAGAAGACCTGGAAAGGCCTTAGGGGAAAGGGGGGAAAGGATCTCAACAGCGAAAGGGGGCAAAGGATCTTAGGGAGGAATAGGGAGAAGATCTCAGCGGGGGGAAAGGCCTTAGGGGGGAAAGGGGGGGAAAGGATCTCAACAGGGAAAGGGGGGGGGGGAAAGGGGGGGAAAGGGAGGAAAAGGGAGAAGATCTCAGGGGGGAAAAGGCCTTAGGGGGGAAAGGGGGGAAAGGATCTCAACAGGGAGAGGGGGGAAAACATCTTAGGGAGGAAAAGGAAAATCTCAGAGGGAGCAAGGGCCTTAGGGGGGAAAGAAACATCTTAGAGGGGAAGGGGGCAAGGGGACAATTCCAAAGGGACGCAAATAAGAAAGCAGGCCTGTAATGTCGGCGGCCTGAGCCGGAGGCGTTAAAATATACTCGATGGCATATCGCAGGCAACTCAAGGGTACGCGGTTTCAACCCGATACAGCAAGGCAAGTCGCTCACCATAGTCCTATGTGCGGAAAGTTTAGGAGGCAAGGGTTCCCTATACTTCCCCGCGAAACGTCAGGCCTGCAAAAGGAATCTCATTGTGACTTGGCAACTACAAGGTGATGTTCGAAGTCGCACGAGTCAAAAAAGGTTCTCAAGTGCGCCTCCAAGGAACCACACTTGCATGGCATCTCCAACAAAACTTGGGCTAAGTCTCCAATGACGTTCTGGTCGCACGCTCAACATAAACAGCGTTCCGAAAGCTCTCTGGACTCAGCCCCTTGCATCCGAATCCGCACACAGGCCATAGAGCTCATCCTGGGCGTGCGGCACCTGCCAAGCTATGGACAACCACGCGAAGAAGAACCTCTACATAGAAGCAGAATAATCGCATCGCAGGCCTTTGCGATTTTTCTACAGATAGCTGACAGCCATAGGGGTTCTAACTTCAAGTAAAGCAGGAGCCGCTGAGGCTCAGGATTCTGGCCAGGTGCTGTTGTAGCGCTTCTGCAGAGTGCTGTTGCAGGGGCGCACGCTGCAGACTGAGAGACTCAGAGTTGCGCAGGGTTCGGTAGGGTGTTGCGGCGTCAGATCCTGGAGTTGCCGAAGCCCTGGAACGGGCGGCACGTGAAGCAAATCACCCGAATTCCGGAAAGCAAGTGCCGATCTTGCCGCACTATCCATGCAGATTTTGGCAAGCGAATTGCTGGAGCACTCTGTTGTGAGCCGCTCTGCTCGGCAGGTTAAGCAAATTCACGACAACATTGGCCCTGAGAGGCGGCGCGTTGAGCAAATCGACCAAAGATACACGTGTCTCTGTATTGGAATGGGCCTTAGTTCGTCGGCTGACTGCACATTCTTGCTATCTGGGGTCTATGCTGGTATTATTTCCTAGTGTTGCTTTCCATGTCGCCGCTCTCTCCGAAGTTTTCTGATGTCTCAACCTGGACTGGAAAGGTCCTCTTGCCACACTCAGCCAACCTCCCGGCCTGCTGCAGCACCTGCAGCATCGCTTCTCGCAACTCCGCGTCCGGCACTTCGCCGGAAGCGTGGCTTAGGGACGGAAGTGCCGGCAGAAGCTGTGCCCAGTTGGCCGGCCAACTGCCTAGCAGATCTGCGGAAGTTGGACCTTGGTGGGGGCACTCCAAGTTATTGACAGGTTCTCAACATGGGGGACACTTTCATTTTGAGCACCGCCATTTTGACGTCAGACGATTCATTGGGAAAAACACATGAATCCGTGGCCACCCACCTCAGACATAGCAAGGGTTGTGACCAACCAGCAGAATGAAAGCGTCCAGTGGTTGCTCCTTCCTTACCATCTTGGCAGCGTTCAACAAAATCCCACAAGGGTTCCTAAAACCAACCCCAAAATCGAGCTATAAAGTGACCCACAAACCAAATTTGGCAGATGTGTGCAAATCATATATCGTCATGAGGAGGTTTCCTTTCCTTGGAAAACCGGACAATTCTCCAGAAAATGCCTAAACAAAAAGCAGGTGCTTTCTACAATACGCCTTTATACAAGATGGGTCGTGCATAGAGATGCCTTGCAGGAGACTCACACACGTTTGCCTTCAATCAAGCCAAACCTTGGCACCTTCCTTCAACTATCAGTGATCCAGCGCCTCGAATCGGATACTCGGCGGGATCCACTGGCGAGCCGCTCTGGCGGGATACTCGGCGGGATCCACTGGCGAGCTGCTCATACTTGGCGGGATCCACTGGCGAGCCGCTCTGGCGATACTCGGCGGGATCCACTGGCGAGCTGCTCATACTTGGCGGGATCCACTGGCGAGCCGCTCTGGCGAAATACTCGGCGGGATCCACTGGCGAGCTGCTCATACTTGGCGGGATCCACTGGCGAGCTGCTCTGGCGGCATACTGGGTGGGGGCGTGGTGTAGAAGCATCGCAAACGTGGATTCCAACATAAAATCTAACAACCCCTTCCTGTCGGGTGGGGAACAAAAAATGGGGCGGATGCGCACCCGCACTGTGCCAAGCGGCTGGGCTCCTCCGGGTGCCAAGTCCAGTCGCCCTGGCCTCCGCCAGCGCTCCTAGCGACGGACCGGATTGGGGGATTGAGCACTGAGGTTCCAAGGATCCGACTTCTCACATCGAGAAACCAAAGCGAAATCTGCCCAAAAGGTGATGATATTGAATAGTCTGAAAAGGGGGGATATAAGGAGTTCTGCGAGCGGGTTTCCAAGTTCACAATCTCTCACTTGCCAGACCCTCCTCCCGACTTTCCACGCCATTTTTTGCGGAATTGTGGAAAGTTGGCTCACCAGAATCTTGGCACTCCACACGGGTTGTTTCAAGACAAATCAATCATCTCCCACAATGGTGGATTTCCTGTGATGCCGCAACACCAACTAAACAGTTTGATTTCTTTCAACAGAAGGGGCGCTTCTATCAGGGTAGAAATACTCCAAGAGCATTGGTGGGGGGAATGCCTGAAGTTGGCGCAAGAAGAGTGTTGCACTAGATCTTGAAACTAGTCGCCAGCACGCGGTGCGGTGGGACTGGATCCACTCTCAAAAGCAACTTTCTCTGGAAGGATTGTGTGTGTGTGTGTTTGTGGGTCCATGTTCGAACACCCAAAACAAATCAGCTTTTTGCGGATCACGTGCAGCTCTGTGGGAGGATTGCGCGTCCACAGGAAATGCATAAGGTCGACCGTGAAGCTGAAGCAATTGCATTTTGGTTTTGAACATAGAGGCGCGCAACTTTCACAGAGGGCATAAACATGGAGGATTTGTGGCTGCTGATGAGCAGAACACGGGAAACGCAAGCTTCTTTGGAATCGCAGTCAGCCCACAAAGATCGTGTCCCACAGCCCCTCTTGATCACCGCAGTACAACATGTCGCGGTGCAATTGGCAGCTCCAGCTTGAAGTTCGCAAGTTTGTGGGCACAATGCAGTGCGCAGCGTGCACAAAGAAAATTGTACAGAGAAACCGTGCAGTGCCAACGTTGGCGGCAGTGCCTCTAGACTGCTCCCCAAACGAAAGTGAGTACAATAGCGATTCATTGATCTGGCGAGTTCAGTGATCAAATCAATCATTGGCGGCGATTGGCGGCATGATGAAAAATGACCCTGGCCTTCAGAAAGTCAGGCATGTGTTTTTTTGAGCCGGCATTAATCGTGACGGCATGGAAGACTTGCACAGAGAACGTGCGCAGAGAAACTTGCGCAAAGCAACCTGCAGAGCACACTTGTGCACAGAAAACCAGAAAGCTTGCACAAAGAAAACATGTACAGAGAACTTGTACTGCGACAGCAGCTGGTTGTTCCAGAAAAATGATGAGATAACTTGGAAAAATCATTGCACAAGAGAAGTTGCTTAGAAATTGCACAAAAGGAAACTTTGCAAGCAAATCATCACAAGATCATATTTGCACAAGCGCTAAACAGAAAACTTGCACAGAGAACTTGCAGAAACACTTTGTACAATAGAAAACCGGAGAGAGAAACATCGCACAAGATCATTTGCGGAAGAGAGACGCTGTACAAGAGAATAGCAGAAGAGAGACAGCAAAGGATCATTTTCAAAACAATCGGCGGCGCAGCAAATACTTCTTTCGGACCATCCGTCCTTCTAGTTTGCAAATGGGAACCACAGGAAACCAGCCCATTCCAAGCGTATTGCGGGATGTGGAAAATCTTTGAGGTCGCAGCCTGCCTTCGATTTCTAGCGCAGCCTCAAATATGCCCCACAACACCAAGCAAAGACGCTATTTTGGAGGTTCCTCCATTTGGGTGTTTTTCGAAGAAAACCCTTTTTGAAGTTGGTTCAAAGAGAAACCAACATGAAAACCCACCCATTGGTGGGTCGAATTATGACCCACACCCATTTGGAGACCAACCCAATGTTTGCAACGCCCGCGTCCCTGCCTCAAGGCGTGCAGCACGCAGAAGTCCCTTTGCCATCCTGCATGGAGTTGGGCGCCAAATTAGATGCCTTTCCGAGAGGGCTTCAGGAATTCTCTCTTGATCTCCTTGCAAGTGAAAAACACTTTTTGCGAGTTACAGCATGGAAGCTTACCCAACTAAGCCACTTGGACGCGCTTCGCGGTGCAAACATGACCTCGTACTCTGGAAGGGGTCAGCAAAGTAAAGGCTAGAACCAGTAGGGGATCTGTGGTCCCAGCCCGCTATGGGATCGGTGGTCCCAACCCAAACCATGGGTTTGAGGCTTGCCCGAAGTAGCCTACAAACCAAACAAGGTGTTGATGTTCTGGGCCTGAGTGGGATAATCCTGAAACTGCAAGCTCCAATATATACAAATAAGGTAGGCGAGCAACACGAACAAGATGCACCGCCAATGAAACAGAAAGTCTTAGTAACTTGACATTGCAATACCATCACATGACATGAGGGTTGGGTTGCCTGTTTCATATTGTAGATCCCCTTGCGATTCGGCGAACTGGGTGCGGGAAAAGTGAGTCTCATTGATCAATCCATCTATCTCCATTTGGTTTTGAGGGCAAGTCACAAAACATCTGAGCGGAGTCGGTCTTCCGACCCCGTCGGGCCCTGCCTTCGAGCTCGCAGCTCATCTCTTCCTTCAGCGCCCGGAAATTGGCCTGGAGCCCCACAGGCCAGGACCTCGCTCGCGTGCCCAGTCTGAGTCCATTCCGCGTGCTGAAACAAAAGCGCTTGGCTGGTTACCGACAGCTCCACTGACCAAATGGCGCAGTTATTCTGTCAAGGGCTGCCACTTAGTTCTGGGGACCCAACCCGAAGTAAACTCACGGCTTGCCTATCCATATCACAAAACACCCGCAAGAAAAGCAAGCGGAACAACCAAACACCACGTTGTGGGGGCTAAACAAGCCTGGAAACACATAGTGGCAGCCCTGCGAGTCGTGTCTTTTCTGTTGAACCTCGTGCTTTCGCTTGTCTGCCAATGGTCAAAGTTCATTCAATCGGGGCAAAGAGGTGCAACAGCAATGGTGCCACCCGGGTCAGTTGGGCAAATGCTGCGCCCAGAGAAAGAAAGGCTTCGCAGAGTGGACGCTCACATTGCCCACTGTTACCTGGGCGTGCTCCTGAATTTACTCCGATACGAGAACTGTTTATTGGGTAGTGCAATGGGCCAAGTTTGGCTGCACGTGTAGTTGTGTACAGCAATAACCACTAAGGCGGGCATGGTATCAAAGCAGGCTCGAACAATGAATGGCAGCAGAACTGCGCGCGTGTCGGATTGAAGCAAAACACCCTGCAGACCTGAAAAAAAGCGAGTCATTCGCTGTGAATCGGCCCCTGGGGGCGCCTCGGCTCGTCAACGGGTCCCGAGAGCGACGCAACTCGAACTGATGTCCCAGGCCTGCTTTTTTCCCTGGATGGAGGGTGGCCTGGCCAAAAGCTTCGGTGCAGCTGAGGCGCAGAAAGGCGCGCACCGGCTCCGCTTCCAGGAGGTGCGCCCAGCCGAAGCTGGAGTCCGAGTCGGCGCGGAGCTGGGCTGCCAGCAGCACCGGCGGGGCCTGACGTGGCGAATCCCTAAAAAAACCCGGCCGATGTTGGAGAAATAAGGTCCACAAGCCAAGATGAGCTGAATCAAATTCAGTTTAGAATCATGCCCGCCCATCCAAGGGAACGTATCAGTCACATGGCTCATACAAGTCCCCTGCAGGTCATGTCGGGGAGCGCCCAGTAGAGGACCTTCATAGCGCTCGATTTACCCCCGGAAAGAAGTCGACGTTTCTCCCGAAGGAACACTAGATTCATTGTTTGCGGGAACTGCCAGGACCCCCTTGTTCTGCCAAAATGAGTCTTCAGTTACATAGGCTCCCCACCCCCATGGGAGAATGGAGAACCAGCCCAAACACAAAAGGCGCGGCAAACAGTTGGAGCATCCAAATCAAAAAGCTGAAGCAAACTTGCAACCCAACAAAGGATGAAAAAGGTTGAACAAACACTGCCCCAACGAACGGCACTCCTGGACCCTTCGCTGACTCAGATTTTCCGTTCCGCGCCAGGGGGCGCCATTCTTCCGGAGCTTCGCAGCGCGCGCCAGGTCCATGAGGCTGCGAAGCCGCTTCCTTCGGCGCTCGGAAGCCACCGTTGGTCAAGACCGGTGCACCGAACTCGGGGAGTGTCCAGTGAAACATCGCATGGGTTTAAAAAACCGAGAGAAACCCAGCTGACATCTTCAGAAACACACACAGCAGCATGATTCTTGAATCTTTCTCAGGAAATAAACAAATGCGCGTTTCCTAGCAGGGGGCCCACAAAGTGATCGTTTTTGGTATGTGGCTTGGGGATGGCAGACCAAATCTTTTGTTTGTCTCGGCCGGACTGGTATTCATGAAAGTCCGCAGACCCCAAAGCTCCACGCAATTCCTTGGGGATGGTCGTCCTTATGCACCTTGGCGCGAAACCTCGAGGCCCGCTGCGCCTTCTGGCAAGCCAGTTTTTGTTTTTAAGCCGCAGGGTCTCAATGAGTGTCATGGCTGGTTTTTACTGGTTGGTCTTCTCTTCTGATGGCGAAAGTGCAGGCTGTGCGCTGACTTGCCGCTCCGTCAAGCCGACGAAAACGGTATGCACCCAGCCATCTGCGACGCAACCAAAACCGAGCCATCGCCCCATCGAGCCGATGGGAGCAACGAAACACCCGGTGAGCCGGTGCAACTCAGCACAGTTCTGTACATTTCGAGCAGAAGCGGTCGCAAATGATGACTTCAATTAAATCTTTTTCGCTGGCATGCGCATCATGCCAAACTCATCTTCATGAACGTCATTCTTGTAGTTCAAGGCGTAGTGCTCCCTGGTCTTGTACCCAAAACGTTCATAGATGGCCACATTGCGGGCGCCAGACGTCTCCAACCACAGGGGGAGTTGCAGATCGTCCGCCCACGAGCTGACCGCGCGCATCAGCTTGCCACAGAGACCTAGGCCCTGTGCATGCGGATCAACCGCCATGACCTTGACATGTGCATGCGGACCGCTGCAATGCCTGGCAGAGAAGTTTGACGAAACTCTTCCCCCCTCCCTCAAGCAAAACGCAAGGACCATATGTTGGGATCAAGAAATTGAAGGGACCCCTCAAAGATATCAACCACCAATGTTTGGCCTGACACTTGGGGACACCTTTGCTTCTTGGGTGTACCCAAACTTGGGATGTGCCGCCATCGCCTCTTCTTTACCTCCTGAATGGCGAAGATCGCTGTGACAACCCGGGCTTGGATCCCCCGGTAATCCCCCAGCTTGGTCTCGCGGCTTGGCATGCCGACGTGCCACATGGCGCGCAGAGCTTCCCAGGCATCGGTGATGTCTCCAGGGATGCCCTTCCTGACTCTGCCCCGTGTTTTGATTGCAGAAATATCCGACCCAAGGTCAAACACGATGCGAGTTGTGTTTGACGGTCGAAACTTCGCCGTTTTTGGCGAGCTGACAAATCATACATTAATGTTTTTACATAATGAGCGATGGTGGGAGCCAGAACTCCGATGGGAAGAGATCAATTTGATCCACGCTTCGGGTAGGGCGTCACCAGTACCACGGCACCCAGAGCGCCGTCAGGCTTCTTGGCGCCCAGTGCGAAGCCGCCGGAGACCAGGTTCCAGGACCACATCACCTGAAGTTCAAGGCATGAAATTTGGGGTGTCCAATGTTGGACTACCCACATCCCCATCAATTGTTAAAGTTTCAAACGGCATCAGTTGCCTCAGACTTGTGAAAGACAAAACCAAATTATCTCAAACAACCAGGTTCTTAATGTTCCACCAAAGCTTCTTTTTTTAAGAAGCCAAACATCGACCGCTTTTCTTTGGGTGGGTGGGACGGGGCGAGGTGGGGAGGGTGAGGCATTCTTTCGCGCAGCTTGCCTTCATCAGCCAGTCAAACAAGGCTCTGCGACCCGGATGGTCCCATTGCTGGTGGAGCGTGGGGCCCATGATCCAATCGCAGGTGCCTTCCGGGTCGGTCTTGGCCGTGCCATTGAAGGAGCGAGACGTGACACTGATGGCTTCCCAGTTGGCTTCAATACTCTGACCTCAGGGCCGAAACAACATTCGGGTGTAAACATGTGTCTTCGAGTGAGAACACAAGGATGGGAACTGGGACAGAATCCTTCAGGATTGGTTTCCATCTGATCGTAGTGAAGGGGAATCGGCAAACCACTCTAGCTTGTGGCGATCCTTTGGCAAAGGGACACAGCCAAACGGAGACTCGCGAGGGTGTTGGCCCTGTGACGGATGGACCATTCCAATTGGTTCACGCGAGTTCGTAGCATACACCATCTTTTCTCGAGAGTCTGCAGCGTTTGTTGTGGAGTTCCGCGGGGGGGGGGGGCCACATTTAATACTTCTTTAAAGCTTCCATGGAGGTATGGAGGGCATGTGCATCCCATTATCGCGAACATCGAAATCTGGGAAGATCTGGGATGGGCTCCGTTGCTCGCCCAAGTTGCTGGCACTGACCTGCCGTTGGCCCGCCAGCTGTTCGATGCCGGGCCCCGCGGCCAATTCGCCAACGACCGGTGCTGAGGCGACGCAGCCCATGGGGTCGCTCGCTGAAGTCGCCGAACGGGAAGTGCCGAGCTTCAAATGGCTGAGACATGGGCCCAACAACAATGGCGGTATGTGACAGGTGAAAGAAGAATCACCTCGGGAAATTGGGCCCAAGATGGCGTTGGAATGTGACAGGTGAAATCAAATCTCGGGAAATTCTGGGAACCAAATAATGGTCGTACTTTGGGGCTGAGATGGCATGGAACTATGGTCCTTGTTGACTCCGGTGACAAACCGTGCCAGGGTTTGCGGGGCTAGCCCCAAAGAAGAAGGACTTGCCCAAGTGGGTATGTCTGTTTTGGGGAGGGCATTGTTCTAAAAGCGACCAAAGCAAATCCCATGAATTCCGCCTATCAAAAGCCCAACATTTGTCCACCGCGTAGATACGTGTCAAGTGGACGTTCATGTCCTGTGCATCTTACTATGCGGATAAGAGAGAAAAACACAAATCACCCTGAGTAATTCTGCGCAGAGTAGACATAGGGGATCCGCTACACAGCCATCAAGGTACATGTAATCTTCATTGCAAACATGTATCCTTTTACCCAGTTAACAACGGCCGGGCGTCAGGGCAGTTTAAATGGGAAATCCTTGAAAAGGGCTTTGGCGCTTTGTTGAATGCGGGAAAGTCGGTCGATTCTCCCTCATTCCCTGACCAGCAAGTTGTTGGGGCTGCCCAGATGCCCACGGCAAAACGGCCCCCTTGGTTGGGCCCTTGGTGTTCTAGCTTGGCCCTTCTCAGAACATCATCTTCGGTTTTTGGGGCGGAATAATGTTTCTTTTTTTCTTTCTTTTTTTCGGGCTTCTCCAGGAACCGCTGTAGTTCAGTGGGCCGTTGCAACTCATTTCCTCTCCAAGCCAAAGTGCAGTCATTGCAACTGACTTCAACGCCGCTGGCCATGTCCCAATCGTCGGCTCAACCGTCGGCACGGGTCATGAGCTGCGGATGCTTCGGCAGCTGCCGCTCCAAGAGCTCCGCGTCGGACAGCAGCAGCCAGCCGCTGTGCCGCTCGCTGAACCTCGCGTGCGCGGCCGCCACCTCCGCGAGCGGTGTGGGTGGGGAGGAGGGGGTTTGGGCGAAGGGGGATCCGGGATGATGGACACAGGTGGATTTTAGAACCCTCCAAGGATCGACTCGTGTGGAGGGGGTGCCCGGCAAAATGGTCGGTATATAACCCCACACCAAGTGGCTACAGGAACAGAGGACATCCTTTCTGGTGCTTGATTCTAGAGGAAGTCCACTCCAAAGAAAGAGCAATACTGGGCGGTCTGGGTCACTTGAGAAAAAAGTCAGGTAGAAGAAGGGTGGTGTCACCCCCGCTACTCCAGGTTCAGTTTGGATGCTACACTTGGGATGCTCTCTGGAGGCTGGGTCGGTTCGGCTCGCATGCCGCCACAAATGGCGTGGGTATGTTCAATGGAACAACCTCCAAAGGTTCGTTTCCAAATGGGACAATCCCAATTGGCCAAGCTTGCAGGAAACGAGGCGGCAAACTTCCTGTACCCAGGGAAACCCAATCGAAATGACAAAGTAGTCATGGAGGCAAACCGCTTCAAAAGTATCGCAGGGGTGTTCTTGCTGGTAAGTGGACACTGATAACCTCAATGTGATTTGCTCATCGATCCATCCGCAGGTACTTTCCGCTCCGGAAATGTACGCCCCCGGACCGGTCGAGCCAACCCGACCGGTAGTCTCCCCACCTTGGACGTGCAGGACGGGTCCAGCAGGCTTATCACCTGGATCAAAGCACCCAAGGGTTTGGGGCTTCATTCTAGAGACATACAAGATACAAGGACTCCCTTTCGAGCAAACCCAAAGGAAACGCCAAACCAATACAACACACACACACACACATACATGTGGGTGCGAGAATTCACTGGCTGGAGCCTTTGGTGGACTACTTGCATCTCTCTCGTTCCTTGGTCCACTCGGGCTACAAAAAACAAGGGGTGGAAACGCCCAACTTTTTGGTTGGGTATTTGAAGGGACACCAGATCGGAATCGTTGGCATTTGAGGGCACCGAGTCCTATTTTCAAATTCTATTTGGGGGTACCCCTGTTTGGTCTTAAAGGAACTCTAAGAGGAAACCAACCAAACCTTGGAGGCCAAGTGAAACGCAGCACATCCATGAGAAAGACCCAGGAGGTTTCCAACCACCTGGAGTGGAAACTCTAATTTCAAGACATACCCATATTGGGATATAAATCACCCTGATTGGACCTTGACATCATTTAGGTTGGGATTCATGTCCACTGACTGAGGTGTCTTCAGATCCCCACTAAAAGTTTCCAACTTTTCGAAAGGACATCCCAAAGACTAAAAGCTGCGACCAAAAACAAAAGCAACCGGATGGCTGGGAGCCAACAATCCAGGGGTACCTTTCCCATTCCCCAAGAATCCTCACTAAACCCAGGGAAAATGGCCGGTCTTCGAAAAGAACGGTTGGAATCGCAGCCTAGAAACACGCTCAACGGACATTTTGAGGATCGATCCTCGCCTCGAAGGGCGCCTGCTCTTGCGCGGCCAGGCGCTGCAGCGACTGCGCCGCGCCGGACGCGGCCTCCGTGAAGAAGAGGACCGCGGGGGCGCGGTGGCTCTCACCTGGCCGAAGGGTTCAAGAGGTTTCCAAGAGGGTGCCGTTTGGGGAAGTGAAAGCAACATGTGGGAAGATGCCAGGTAAGCCATGGAACCCCAGACTGCCAGACCCTTGGCTTGTACTTGAAATAATTGCTAACTATGGGGTGTAGACACCGAATGGGGCCCAAACAGTGACGACTTCATAAGTAGTCCACACATTCAGCCATGCCCCGTGAACCCCCCAAGCAAAATTGGGTCGCCCTAGTCTACATACCTTCGGGGAGGGGCGCATTTTAGCAAACATTCCACAAAGCATCATAAAAAGCGAAAGCTCATGTTTCGGCAAGATCAGAGTTCACCTTGACATTTTGAAAGGTTCCAATACCAAATATAACATGCCCAAGGCCAGGACATAACAGAGTATGAGGCCAAAATCCACCATTTTTCCAAGTCCTTGCATGCTGACCAAAATAATCGCTTTTTCAAGGATGGAAGCACATTCCGGAAAATCCGCTGTTTCGAGGATGGAAGCACATTCCGGAATTCAATTTTCACATCATTGCCAAATTTGGCACACCATGCGAGATTTAAAGGTCGATTTGCGTCGGTTGCGACTGAGTCACGACTGGTGGTTGGAAGGTTGCCTTTTGTCGGGATTACTTTGAAGGAAAACAACATGAGGCCTGTTATGATATTATGAGATCATTCCCAACAAAACACAGGTGCATATGGCATATGGCTTGGCCCGTCTCCAATGAACTTGTATTAGGGGGTTGCTGATGCACCTCACATGGACACTACCCGCACTGACACTTCCCAAATGCATTGCAAAAAACAAGGAGCTCAAACTTTTTCTAACCACTAAAGTTGAAATAGTGCCAACCCAAAAAGAAATGAACAGTCCATGAACACAGGCAGTGCGTATTCCTTGAATGAAAACTTAGAAGACAGGGATCCAAGTAAGGGACCTTGATGGCTTGTCTGGGTTAAACAGAAAAAACAGATGTTCTGTTGCTGTCTCATATTCCGTCCACCCATCAAAACTTTTAGGCGCCCTCCCTGGTTTTCGAGAGCAGATCACGGGTCGCGCGATGCCTGCTTCTTGCACGGCCCTGTTGACCAGTGCTGCAGGGCCCTCGGGGAACATCTCACCTGCGACTTCGGAAACGGCGTGGTTTCTTTGCCTTGAGTCGTAGCCAAAAGTAGTTGGTTCCATCAAAACACCGTCTCTATCCTAAGAAAGCACGTCACGGAAAGGAGGCTGACTTTGCAAGGGATGTTTTGAGCCAGGCATTGTAACCCGGAGCGCCCAAATCAAACATGACAGTGTGAACCCGCTAGCGAGTTGGAGAAGGCTTTGGAGACACAGGCTTGCTCCAAAGATCCCGGCAAGACGTTTGGCCATCATGCGGCTCGCATCTGGCCCAAACCGAGGGATCCAAGCCGACTTTCTACCCAAAGGTCGCTTCGACGCAAGGCGAACGAATCCACCCGCCTGCCCCGAGCTTCTTGAGGCTGAAGCGCAGCAGCCTGGGCTTTAGACGATGATCGGTGGCGTTTCTTTCCAAACATCCGCATGGCTGAAACTTCCATGGGGCACAACGTCCATGGGTGTGGCTCAACATCCCAGGCGACCAGTTTTAGGGCTCTCGATCCCTGGCCCAAAACCTGCAGAACTCGCAAACCTCTCGCTGCCTCTGAAGGGAAGCAGCACCGAGCAGATTCTTGCGGCAGTTTCCATCCGGGGACATTTGTCATGTACCGAGAGGGCGGTTTAACATGCTTCCAGGTGCGTTTTTGGTGCCACTGAACAATGATACATATTTTCCAGACCGGCCAAACAGTCAGCCATTGGCAAATGGGGACGGCTCCAGAAACTGCGCTTCAAACCGGCCATTTCCGCATGAAAAGGACACAGGGCAAAATGACCAAAGCCAACAAAACAAAAATCCACGCATCTAGCTTGCAGGGGCCTGGAGGTCCTCTCTCCGCTTCGTGTTCTCTCAGGGCAAAGGAAACCATCCGTTTGGGGGGGCCTAGCGCAAAATCACTGGTCTTGTCCGACTTCGCCTTGATCTTGTTCAGCTTCAAACTGTGTGGATCCTCTGGTCCACAAGAAAAGGGAACCAGCCCCCTGGCCAGCTCAAGGTGTTCCCCCCGAATACGCTCGCAGTCGATTGGTTCGTTAACCATAAGCCAGGCTCGTGAACCCTGAGCCATACCGGTGTGGTTCCCGTTTTTAAGTTGCCACTCTTTTGTTTTTGTGGTTCTTCAAGGGACACCAACAGGGAAACCGGAAAACCGCATTTTGGGGGTTCCGCTTCCCAAAAGACGAGCTAACTCCGGGCTGTCGAGAGGCTTCTGGGGCAGTGCCTGCGGCGCCAGTGCTGCAACGACTAGCAGCTCCTTCAGCCCCAGCGAGATCGGCAGCTCCTCGCATATCCGCGCGCGGGTGAAGTGGTCATCGCATCCCGGTTTAGCGTTTTGATAGCTGGGAGGTAGTCAGGGGCCCACTGGTAGCCATGCGATTTGTCGTTTGCGAGTCTTCCAAGCAGTAAAGAAACCAGTGACTTGAACCCCTTGTGGTCAGAAAGGTCCCAGGGTCGTGACTAAAACCGCAATGAAACCAGGCAACGGAGCCACCAAAAACCGGTCAGGGGGTTGGGATACACCTTGCGCCGGGGTCGCAGGTGCCCCTGTGTATCGCGGACACACCGAGTCTACTTCTTTGCAACCTTTTGAACAACACTGGAGTCTATCTAGACATCTAGAGTCTAGCTTGCAGTCTCATATCCTAGCACTTCACCCTAAAGAGGGTTGCAAAGTACAACCCAAGTGTCCACAGACAAGTCGGACTTGATTGGGAAACGCAAGAGAGCCTTCCCGTCCATTCCTAGGCACATGTCAGGAGTAGACTCTTGCTCTTGGGCCATAGGATGCGCATGGTCGACCCACCCATGGTTTCTTTTCGATTCATCCAACATGGGCCCCGGTGATATTTTGAGCTCGCGCCCCTGAAGCGCTCTCTGCACTGCACCTGTCGACCTGATTTGGGCCATGTAGACTGCAGGTTGAGATCAAACGGTCAAAACCGGATTGGTCAAACTGATCTTCGCAAAAAGCTCAAAACTTTAGCGATTAGGAAGACACGGCAAGTGGTTAGTCCGGTGGTTGGAAACAATCATGTTCAATCCAATCATAAAGGTGACTTCGATGGCCATTCTGGTCGGCTTGAAGGCGTTTAGCTTTTGGCCTCCGTCTCAACCAAAATGGGGAAAGACCCAGAGTCAGGGAAAAAATGCTTGCTCAATTGTCAAATTGAGCATAGCTTAGCTCTGGAAAACCCGCCATTGGGCTCAATGGCCATGGGCTCAATGGGTGTGTTCAGCCTGTGACAAATATTTCCCTCCTTGCACCATTTCAGAGCAAAACGCCCCGACAGCGAAACGCCACGCACCGTTTCCATGCTTCAATCAAGCGTTTTTTTGGGTGCACGGGGCCATATTTCACCCTCTCTAGGGGTTCAGCGGACCCGCATCGCCCGGAAGCTCCTTGGAAGACTTGAGCGCCTCGCAGGTTCTGCGACTCGTTGACTCGTCGGGGTTGGATCGATTTAATGCAAAAATTAGCGAAGCAACGGGCCAGGGTGGATGCTTCTTACTATATATGGCTGGTTGTCAAAATGTTTCCCAGTTTTGTAGCGTAACTCGCCATGAAGCCCCGTATCATTCGGGCCATATGAAAACCTAACCATATCATGGTGGTTTCTCCTGGTTGTCTTGAATCATCTGTGTAATATGTGAAATCCCTCACCACTGGAACCCCGAAGGATTGCCCGACCTTCATGCCAAGAGGGGCCAGCCCCGGAGCGAGACGCCGCCTCCGTTCATTTGGCGTTTCAAGGGCTCAAGCTCGCCCAAAGCCCGAAATAAGAACACCGAGTCGAATCCATCATGTCTGGGTCAATTGGTCAAATGGCGAATGGAAGGTGGGCCAAGACGCAGAAAGACTGTTGGCCGGCCCTCCTTTTCTTCTTTCCCAACATCCACCACGTCCCCATTTGGATGTGGGAGATGCTTCGAAGAAGGCTATGCTTAGAGGGGTGGAGGAAGATGGGAGAGGGTGGTGACATGTTCCCTTTCCCGTTGGGTCGCAAGTCGCAAGGGGGAGGGAGTTTTCTCAAAAAGGCCCCTTAGCCCAAACCCCCATAAACTTTCCTTCTTTTGTGCTTCTTCCTTCCTTCCTGTCTTCCTTCCATGAACTCATTCATGCATCCATGTTATTTCATCTTTTCATCTTTTCATTTATTTTATTTATTTCATTCATCCATTCATCCATTCAATCATTCTCGCTCTCTCTAGCGGCTCGCACGGCTCCCTATGTGTCCCCCTGGCCCTTTTGGGCGACGTTCTCTCCCGAGAAAAAATCTCGCCGGGCGAAACGACCGAAATTTCGACACCGAAATCGAGCCACGCACTTTCGCCTCTTGCCACCTTCCAGGCTCGGCGAGCAGGCTCTTGGTGACCTGCGGGTCTGCGCCTCAACCAAAATCCGGGGGCAAGCCTCTGGGCGCTTTACAAACACCAGAATGACGGGTTGTCAAAATGATTGACTATAGACAAAACACATCGTTTTGAGAGCCAGCCTGGTGTGGTTCTTACATATCCCCGTCTTCCCTCTGCATTTTCTTATGCGCGTGTCGAAAACAATACTTTCTGCAGGACTCCTCAGGGAGTTACCCCCCCACAAAGGTGGAAGTGCACAAGGATTTTTTGCCAAAAGGACGGTTGTCTCCCACAAGTTTGCCAATGCCATTCCGTTGCTTGTTTGGGGAATGTGCTGGTTTGCGCCCTGTCTTAAACACAAGGGTGAAAGTAGATATCGCAATTCTCTCGGGGGGGGGGGGGTAAGTCAAGGGGCTGACGAGTGACCAAAACAGTTGAATTGTAGCAAGGCCGTTTTGAAGGGAAACCAAAAAGGACACCGAAGCCCAGTTTCGGGGGTTCCCCCAATTTGGGCGTGGGTGGAAAAATCGCAGCAGGGCACCGCAGGTTTTTGAGTCCTCCTTTCCATAGGGGTTTGAACCCGTTTTGGGGCTTGCCGTCGATTTTTGCTCCCCCGCCGGTTTGGACCGAAACCTCTCGCCTGCGCCAGCTCGGGGAACTGGTCGAGGGCGAGGAAGCGCTCCCAGCCTGGCGTCTCAATCCGATGAAGCCCGTGGATGTGATTTGGCTTCGGTACTGGACGAAATCCATCTCGCACCACTTTGAAACCATGGCTGAAACTATTGCTTGTTGGTATTTACGCTTGGGAATCGAATCATTGGGTTTCTGAACGGTGCGAAATGGACTTCGTCCACAGCACTGAGGGTTTGGCTTCTTGCGGCCCTTCCCATGTCCTGAGAGTCTCTTGTGAGGCTTGGGAGTCTGTGAGGTCGTGATTTGTCCAAGGCAAGCTCCGACACTTGCAGGATTCTTCCACACCAAGAGACCAAGAGTTGCAAGAATCCCGATTTGGGAAGGCCCATCTCGAATCTTCTCAGAGCCGCAATTCGAGCCGTGGCTTGCTAACTACTTTGCAAACGAGCGGAAGAAGCCCTCAAACACATTCTTTAGAACAACCTCCTTACCTTGCAGATTCACAACTGGCTCCCTCAAAAGACCCACGCATCTTGTTTTGGACAGAAATAGAACTCCTAAAACCCCCTTTCACCGCCTCTTTAGGCCGAATCTCCTTTTGGCTCCCCTCCCGAGAACTTGCACATGTGCTAGACTCCTTGGTCCGTGTTTCAAGACGGGTCGAAGAGAACCATTTAATCAGCAAGACACGCTCGCCTGAATCCCCAGAGGCGCCGAAGCAATTCTGCATCCGGCGTCTCTCCCTCTCGCGCGCCTTGGGGGCTCACAAAGGCGGCGACCTCGCTGGGCGCCGACGTCCTGGCACCCAAAGCCCGAAGCGAAGCGGTTGCTCTCGAGATGACTTGGGAGCCAGCTTCGGCTGTCCTTCCGCAGTGTCGCTCCGGGCTAGAAAGCTGGTTGGTTCAAAGGGAAGGGAAGATGAAGGCAAGCATGGCAAAGGCTAAGAAGTAGCCTTTTGTCCAGCTGCGAATGGGGTGCTTCCAGAAAAAAATGGCTTCGAATGGCACGCTCAGGGAAAGCGCCCGGCCTCGCCGCCCACTCACCCTGGCAAGCGAATCGCGTTGAACCGGACCCACGTCCGATGTTTGTCCACTCGGAGTGCTGATTGGTGGGAGCCTTTCTCCGCAGAGCATGGAATCCCGACTGAAAGGGCCCCTCAGCTGATTCCTCTGCAAATGGTTTGCGGGGTTCCGTCAGCCAACCTGCAGTGAATTTTCTGAACTCCAGCAAATTTTGCCTTTTCTGCTAGCAAGTCAACCTAAAGCAAAACAAACATGTACATGGAAACCCGCTTTCTTCCATCCCTCGAACAACTTGGTATTAATTGCAAGTGCAACTTCCGTCATTTTCCAAAAGGTTGAATGCCAGATTCGTTCAGAAGGGCAAGCAACAGCTTGCCATCTCAAGTTTGCCATGGCCCGAGGATCTGGACTTTGGCGGGCCCCCTTTGGGCGCATGCGACACCTGAAACTCGCTTGCTACCTGACAGTTTGAACTTTGGGTTGCAAGTAGACCAAAACGGACATTTCCAAGCGAGTGTTTCATCACCAGATGTAATCATAGGACGTATTTTTTGCACTCAAATTTTGCCCCTAGATTGGCAGATCAGCGCTTCGAACCTAGGCGCCCTTCGGCATAGATGGATTCCACTGAACGCTGAGAACCAGCCTTGAATCAACAAATCTTCCACACCGGAGTTACAATCAACACCTAGTACTGCAGGGGTCTACCGAAAACCAGGTAACAAATCAAAAAGGGTGGCCCCTGTCTCGTTGATTGGGATAGTCCCTTAGCAACCTTCATCTACTCACCTGACAATCGCGAGAGAGGGCGCCTGCAGGTCTGAGGCGGCGTCACGTAGGGCGGAGACCAAGGTACCTCGGAGTCCCTGGGATCCGAACATTGCTTGTGGCTTTTTGGAGCTACCCGTGCTTGAGAGGTGATAAAAAGAGAAACCAAAAGGAACACCGCCATCCACGTTTTAGCCCCCGCTTTTTGAACACGCACACAAGCACAAGCATGTGACAATGAGGAGACATATATCAAGTAGATGTCATGTATGCCTACCCATATCTTTCTTTCAAGCAACTCTGGGCGACCCCAGCGTACACCAAAATCGGATCCGGTTACATATACAAAGTAGAAGCTAACACATTCAGGCAATATCTTATTCACCCAACCTGCCTCCGATGTGTATTTGGCCAACTTTGCCTTAGAGCTTAACTTCCCTACTGCAAGTTGATATAGCACATATTGCACTCATTTCTATGTCATGCTTTCTTTTTGAGTCCATTGAATAAACCCGGCTTCCTTCTGTGTCCCCGTAAAGTTGTGACAAAGGGGGGCCCTGTATTCTGAGACCTATGGCGGGGGCAACTGGGGTTGCCCCTAATGGCTTCAACCTAAGTGTTGAACACCCTATGGAACCCAATCTCGGCCCCGAACAACGGGAATGTGGACACCGCCTCCAAGCATACCGAAGGTTGCCTCTCAATGTGGTTTCCCATCCCAAGTATCCCTTGGGCACTTTGGATTGGTTCGGAGGCGGTAAATAGATGCGTCCAACCCTGGCTGCTTTCTGCTCCCCTGCTAAAAGTGACTAACTTTTAGCGGTTTAATGGAAACCCATTAGTTGGCAAAAAGTCAAAGTCCCAACATCCCTTGGCAAGATGCACCAAAGCAACCCAAAAAGCCAGCCAGTAGTCTGAGGTCCGGGCGGGCGGAAGCGGCGCCGGTCTCCAGCGCAAGGGCAAGGCAGCAGAAGAGGCCTGAGGGGTTTTTAGGTTTCCCAAGTGCTTTTTGCGATTGCCTTTGTTTCCAATGTGTTTTCTGCATTTCTCTGTTGCCTTTGTTATTTTTGAGGTGCTTTCTGCATTTCTCTGTTCTTGTTGACTTCTTTAAACCGTTCTTGGTGATAGTTTGTTTCGCGTCCGGCTTTGATGTCTTTAATCTTTCCAGCTTTGCTTGAGGCTTCCGCCCGTACGAAGGGGATACCCCGTGAATTTGTTAAAATCAGAATGGGCTGCGGTCTAAGTTATGAAGGGCATGCACCCTTTCTAAGGCTGAAAGGGAAACCAACAGAAACGCAACCATTCTTGAGGCATGTTTCTTTCTTTGTACTAGTCTCAAGATTGACTGCAAGGGAAATCAAAAGGTTTGGGGGGTCCTCCTATTTTGACCGCTGCCGATTGGGCCTTGACTGAAATTGGGTGCAAGGTTTGCACAAACGGGTTGAACCACCATTGGCCCGCGTTTTTCTTCAAGACTACCCTTGCCAGAGGTGTTCCAAAGATCTGTTTGGCACGGCTGCTGAAAGTGCATCTTGAGGCTCATAGCAAAGCAGCCCCGGGTTGATTCAACGAGAAATCCGAAGCAAGGCCGCCATGTTTTGGGAGTCGACCTATTCTGACACGTGCCCAATTGCTCGATCTCAAAACGAAACGTGGACATTTCGGACGAAACATGGAACCCCGAATATGTTCAATCAAAAGGTTCGATCAACAGGTCTTTTGGCTTCTTGGACATGTGAGTTTTCCAGCCAATCCGCAATTTGTAGGTTGTTTTTTTTGGCGGGGGGATGTTTGCAATCCCCCAACTTGGCCGGCCAGGTCACCCCCGGGACTCTCAATGGGCTCTAAACCAGAACTCGGGTTCACTCCAAAGGGTTTGGGGACGGATTAGCCCTGAACTCCTCACTCGGGCTGGTGGTTTTCCTTTTGAAACACTCCCAGTGCCTAAAATAGGGCTGGGAAACACCGGCGATCTGAGAGAACAGGAATCCAGAAAGCGAAAGCCAACTTGTAGACTCCTGGAAAGAATAGAAAGAGATAGCCTTTTGAATCCAGTTTTGGTTCGTTCCCCCTGCTGCTTGGGCATGCAGTTTTCAATACATTTTGGAGAGATCTGAGACCCTTTAAAAAAACCCCTAAAACAACTCGAAGGGTGCTTGAAACACTTTGGCATTTCTTCGAGGAACCAAATGTAAGCCGAAGACACCAGGGGGTCAGCTCCTGGTTGCGTGGCGACTCGGGTACAATGCTAAACTCTGAGCACGGTTTGAAGGAATGCTTCAAATTGGACAACTCCACACCATCTGAGTTGGGGCCTGAAAACGTGTGAGCAGCATCTTTTGTTGGGGCCTGATGAACCCCCTGCCCCCGTGCAGAAGATATCCAAACAAACACGGGGATGATTGTCAAGCCGCCAAAACGCACTAGGTTTTGGGTCGGGATCATCTCAAAAAAACGTTCTAGGGAGAGGTTCTAACTGGGGTTGGCCTTTGAGCCTCTTCAGTGTAGTGCAATCACTTGGGGATGGTACTTTGCCAGCTTATGTTCAACCAGAACGCAACCAAGTAAACGGGGCAAACGTTTACATGTTGCTGGTTGAAAGGGAACAGGTTGGAACACCAAACAAACAACAAGTTCAACAAAGAGGCCCACTACATCTGGCAATGCGTAACCCTCATATTTTCGCAGCTGAGGAGCTCGGATGATGCCTGGGGAAGACTCGGTGGGCCTCGGTGGGTTCTGTGTCGCTCAAGTCTGTGTGTGATGTTTTGAAGGGGACTTTTCAAGTTGGTTTGACAGGACATGAATTCGGACCTCCCGATTTTGGGTTCCCCAATCTTCATTGTCATGCATACCCGGTTCCTCCTGCTTCTGTACGACCAACCGGCATCCTGGTCATTGGGCCAACCACGTGTTGTTTCAACAGCCTGCGGTTGGATCCCGGAAGGGACCCATGTCTGGTTCAAACACATTCTGCCCAACCCTTATCCTGGTACAAGGGCAGAGGTCGCTTTTGTCTAGGAAAAAACCACTGGTGTGTGGAGGCAGGTCCAGGCAAAGCAGAGGTAACAACCAATGAAATCGCATCCAAGAAACAACTGCCATGGGCCGTGGGTGAAACAGGCAGAACAGCAAGAGGTTGGCAGAACCCTCGGAGAAAATGTCTCGCAAGCCTCGCAGGGTTTTCGAGCCATCTCCCTTTCAAGGGGGCCTCTCGAAGTGACCACCCAAGCTGCTGGCTTGCCTCTGGTTTCCCTGTAAAACCACTACATGATTAGAGTGAGGCAGTTATAGAATGACTATTTTATTGTTGGCTTCACTTTGAGGTGGTAAAATGTAAAAGTCCGAAGTCTACCCCAGACTACAACAGTTCCCCCGAAAAGGGTAAAAGGGCACTACTGGGGAACCTAGCCCTTTAAAACCACGAAACAAGTTCCCCCAAAAAGCCAGACCCACTGAGCAGAAAACGCTTTTTTCTCGCCGGTCTGAGGCCCGGCAGTGGCCTCCAGCCATGCACTCGGCAGATCCTCGGATCGAAGCGAGTTGGTACCCATTTTTTTTTGTTGTTGTTGTTGTTGTTGTTGTTGTTGTTGTTGTTGTTGTTGTTGTTGTTGTTGTTGTTGTTGTTGTTGTTGTTGTTGTTGTTGTTGTTGTTGTTGTTGTTGTTGTTGTTGTTGTTGTTGTTGTTGTTGTTGTTGTTGTTGTTGTTGTTGTTGTTGTTGTTGTTGTTGTTGTTGTTGTTGTTGTTGGTTTTTGACAGGAAACCAGGAAACCCGTTCTTTGTCCGTTTTGGGGGTTCCGGTTCCTTCAAGACCCATAAGGGGAACCGAAGGGTGGGTGGATCTCCTGGTACTTGGTATGTGGTAGGCGTTTGTGTATTGGCTGGTGCCGGTGTGTGTCCTGCGGCCGTGTCAACCTCTGGGAATGAGGAGGGGCCCGGTCTAGAAGTCTGGGGGAATTTTTTACGGCCACTGAGTCACTGAGCCGAGGGATGTCTGCAAGGATTAGTTTAAGGGATATGGGGGTTGATCAAAAAGTCTTTTACGTGGGATGACCATTGTGGAAAAGGACCAAAAGGATGATATTACTTAAATGGGAAAATACCCATGCTCATTTGGGGGCCGTAAATGGAATATTGATCAACCCAAATGTTAAACCATTCCAGTTTTCCCATGACACGATTTGATCGTGACCATGAGACACCTGTTTTGGGTGCGTGGTTGGGGGATCCCAGCAACCATGCTTGATTATTTGTATGGGCCCCGGATTCCATTCTATACCCTTTCCATGCATCAAGGGTTGGTGCGAATTTCTTTTGGAAAACAAAGGTCCGCAACAGCAACAGGCAAGGGGCGAACATCAAGAGCTGTATTGTTCTCAGAACAGCAACAAGTAAATTCTTCTGAAGGAACTTGTACCCCGGAGAAGGCCACTATGAGCTAAACACAAGCCGCAAAAATTGGCCAAGAGCTTCCCTTTGCCGGTAAGAAGTCTTTGACCTTTTGCCAGACACTTCATGGGGTCCTGCAAGAAACCCCAACCCCGGCTAGTACCGGAGGAACGTCAAACGCTGCGATGATGCAGCATCTCGCATCAACTCGGACTGACTTCGCCCCCCAAGATGAGGCTTAAACCCACCTGAAGGGGGGGAGGCGCAGCAAGTCAGTGATGTTAAAACTGGCTTCAAAACAACATCATCTACAAGGCATGGCTTTCGGACCCCTTGAGAAATGGGTGCGCTGAAAATTGGCGCTCATCATCTGGCCACTTTCCTGGGTTGCAAAGGGTGGCCGGTAGCCTTCCGCATTCGACCACTAGGGCCACCTTACCACAATGGCCATGCGACCGTGTTCCCGGAGGGCAACATGGCCGGAGGATAGGCATGGTTTGTGTATCCACCAGGTTACATACTAAGCTTGCAGTTGCGAATGGGGATAGGGACAATCTAGGCTCCCCAAGGATCCCTAAAGAACCTCTGCTTGACGTCAAACCTTCATGGGATGTGTCATACATCTCTGAAGTCTAAGAGTATGGAAGCCGCCAAGCTTAGCAACCCGTCCCCAATCTCTGAGCCCCAAAGCTCCCTGTGCAACCCCAAGGAAACCGAGCAACACCCCCTAAGAACACCCTTCTTGACCTCAGCAACCCCCCAAAAAAACTGAAGAAACCACCCAAGACCCAAAAGGCACCGCCAAGGGAACCCCGAAGGTCCCAATGCCGAGAGGCCGCCGAGAGCTGTGTGACATCTCGGCCCTTTTCGTCCAGGTACCGCCAGAGCCAGTCCATGCAGCGCATCACCTTTCGCGCTTCGCTCCCCGGGCCTGGGTCCATTCGAGTCCAGATTTGAGAGGTGCTCCGAAGAAGTCGGCGCCAACTTCTTTTTTTTCGGAAGTCTATTTTAGTAGGGGAAGCCTACCCCCAAAAGGGGGAAAGGGCACTGGGGGACCTAGCAAAGTAAACAGCCTTTTCGGGTGTGAGCTTGAGTCAAATCGAGGTTCCCAGAACGACCGCATGGCCTCTTTGGGAGGTATTTGTTGGATATAAAGTATCCAAAGGCCAAAGTATGAAAAACCCAGTGCCAGCGTATCCTTAAGCCAAAGTATGACCAACCGAGTAATAACAACAGGACGTGTTTTCCACCATCAGCACCATGCAGCCGTTTCCGCAAGTGCGCCTCGCCGCGGTACAGCGGATGCCAGGTCTCCACGGAGCAGGCCTCACGTGTTTCCCCAGTCAGAGGGAGTTGATCTGCAGGTCCTTCACATGCTTCTTGGCTAAGGCCCCGGGGAAAAATGAAAATCTTTCCAGTGATGAAGTCCATTTGAGACCAACAAGGGGAAATATTCTTAAGCAAATGGAGGAAGGGGATGACGATGTGTTGGAAAACCACGAAGATTATATTTTTCCATGGGCAAAGTTAGTTTCCCAAGGTCATTTGGGGCGCGAACGGAATATTGATCAAATCAACATGCAGGATATGTACGGTGAGGAAATGACAATCTCAGACATAATTATCAAACCTGTTCCTATCAGGGTCACTGGGGGCAAACATGGCAACTGACAGGGGTTCCTGTAAATCAAACTACAGAGGTTCAACCGTAAAGATCCAACCCGGTGGAGATGGCAAGAGGGTTTCCCAACTCTTCACGATGATGATTCAAGCTTCCCAACATGGATAAATCCAGGCTTCTTTCCCAACCCACTCAGGGAAAATATGGGTGGATTTTTCTTGTCAAAATGGGAGGGGAACAATGCTGTTCATTTGTATAGGGAAACCTGCGTTTGTGATTTGCAAACAAAGTCTCTCAGTCACTTCATTTTGGGGTCCCCAACCCCAAAGGAAAAGGGGAATCCGAAGCGACTGGGAAAATGCAGCACCTCGTTCTACCTCCTTTTGGAGAAAACAAGGAGGAACTCTGGGGATCCTGTCTTGGGGCAGGCTTCGGAGTCCCACAATTTCATTTCGATTCAATAATTCCATGTCGTCAACCAATTTTACAGTCATTTTTAATGGAAAGAGAACAAATGAAAATCCAAGGATGACCTTCCGAAAAGGCACTCTCTGTGGCCGGTACTTCGCACCCCAGTATTGCTTGCGTCACCTTACCGGTAAAATGTGAAATGTATCCAGCCCTCAGCCAAACGAAGTCAATATTTGTTGTTTACAACACAATTCGCCTGCCCAACACATAACTCAAGTAAATCTCAGAAGCTTGGGAGCGAGTGCCAAGATTTGAACAAAACACATACACAAAACAACAAACATCAACAAGTATCCTGGTTAAACTATAAACAGCTGGGGTATTCAGCCCCCAGAGTATCGAGTTTGCATACCAACCATCTTCCCAAACCTCCGGAAACAACTGAGCTTACTGCTTTTGGGCGTACTGCGCGCGAAGTAGGTCAATCAGCCACGAGTCTCGCAAACGAGACATCCCAAGTGAGCCTGAAGACATGGGCACCATGTTGTCCCCTGGTCGGGGAGAGTAAGTCAGCCCATTGCTTTGGATAGACTGAACTTCCCTGGCTCCATGCGTTTCCTATCAAAGTCACCCCTTCAGTGATACAAGAACACACCCCACCTCCACTTTCTGACTTCCCCCAAGAAACCGGACGGCTCCTTTCGCTTGGGAGATTTGATCGGTTCCTTTTGGGAGAAGATACGTCCCACCACCTCCCAGCCGGATAGCCGGATCTCCGGTCTCGGAGATCTCGGTCTTGGCGTCCCGGCGACGCGGATCACCGCCAGGGCCGTGTTCACCAGCCTGGCAGTTCCCGGCGCGTTTTTGGCGTTTGGTGCTGCTTGGTGTTGTCCCGTTAAAAAGCCCAAGATAAGCCACCGGCATACTCCCTGGAAACCCACGAGTGACAACTGGCCGCATGAGCCCAACCATGTCTCGTCAATTGACGCGATTTAAGGGTGCGAACTTCACCTTCAAAATCAAAAGTTCCGCGATGAACTTCCGCAAACCTCCCCCATGAAGATGACCAGAACTTTCAACGCAAGCTGCCAAAAGTAGACAGAAGAGACATGAAAAGGCAGGGCTTTGGAATGAGAATGGGCTCGACCCGCCAAACAGGACTTCCTTCAACAGTGTCACCCGATGGCTCCATGAGCTGCATAATCCCTATGTTCACCTTGCTGGTTGGAAAGAGGGTAATCAAACAAACCACCCTGCGTCAAATCCGGCTAGCAAGGTGTCCAAATCAAATTCACACGACCGCATGAGTTCTCATCAACGCTTGGGGTTTGAAAACAGGGTAACAGTACACACAATTATCGCACTTGCTCAGAACAAAAAGGCCCAACGTGTCTTGGACCTGCTCCTGGCTTCTAGAATTCAAACAGGCCGACCTTTCTGTTGCGCAAACCTCATACAAGCTCACACATCAATCAATGCAGTTCACATGGAAGCCATCAAATACCAGCACAAACCAACACACACACACACACACAAAAACCCTCGTTTTCCGAGCTTTGGAATGGCCGACGAGAATTCGTGGGAAGGCCACCAAGGGTGTCACTAGCTGCCCGGTGAGCCTGGGAGAAGGGACGAAAAATCCGCGGATTCGGCCATTCGACCATTCGGAGCCTCTGCCACAGATCCGACACGCTCTGCGCCTGGACAGCTCCGATTTGCGAGGTTCACATTGTCTCAAACATCCTCGGGGCCCCAAACGCATTTTCGGGCTCCAGGAAGATAACTTCTGCCATGCTCTGATGTCCGAGCCTCAACACGACCAAATCTGGAAACTGGGGAAGCCACGTAAGATGCTCTTCAGTGGGAGGGGACCCACCGGAGCTATGCCTGACATTTCTTTCCATTGAGCCGATTGGATTGCTTGCAACACTTAGAAAGAAAACACTGTACCTTGGGTGACTTGTTTGCTGGAGAACACAAATGGGGGTCTCTCTAAAATATCGGTGGTACCCCATTTGGCGGGTAACAAGGGACACCAAAAACACAACCCATTGGACTGATTCCTACGGGCGTAAATTGTAATTGGGAACCGTTTGGTGTGTGGGGTTTCATGTCCACCAACCATGTGGCAGGGTATACCTCACCAAGTTCATAGGCCTTTCCGTCTTCTTTGGGAACAAAACAAATCAAATACTTCGGCTTTCTGGCTCCCAGAATCCGGGAGCCGGGTGATCGGACATGCCATTTGCTGGGACATGCAGTCTTTTCGCATGGAGCATGGAGGGACACCTAAACTGTCAATGGGGCGACATTTGCCCAACTAATTTAGAGCAGAACCGGATCGCATTTTGAGGGAACATGTCCCCAATTTGTTCAACCAGGTTCTACTTACATCTGGGATCAACATTGGTCTCGCTCTCCCGCAGATTAACATGGAACCCCACAATCCATCCAAGCTTGGGAACGGAATCTCCTTCAAAGGACAACCCTCTGAATTGGGACAGCCCGCAAAGAAAATCAACCGAAGGTTTGACTGAATCCCGGGTTAGCATTTATTTAGTCAGTCTCGAATGGGCATTTTGACAAGGCATCCCTTGTTGACTGGAATGTCTATCCACCAGAAACAGGGGAAAGGAGATGAAGTGAGACGCTTGTCCGGGGTCGACATTTGTTCTCAGCCCAGTGGCCAGGTCGGAAAACATGGGGCACACAGTTTTTGGGCTGTGGTTTGGATTGGTGGCTGGGGGTGCTTTCCCATTTGCCCCCTACAAGAACCAGAGGTTCAAATCGATATCCAAACCACCAATCCGAACCAGCAATTAAGGGACACCTGAGATTCAAGGGGAACAACCCGCGTCCACAAAACAAGTTGAAGAACGGGAAGCGGCTGGTCTGGGCTCATCTCCCAGACTCCATGAATGGGTGTTTGGACCGCAATCCTGTTCAGAGGGAGTCTCCAAAGGACCCCTCAGGGTAAAAACAGATCACCAGGATGTAGGGGTTTCGCCCCAAAAGGGCATATTTTCACTCATGGGACTGGGTTCTGGCTTCAAAAGGAAGGGTCTCGTCAAGTCCTCCGCTTCCCTGGGGTATTGGTCGTGAATACCCTAGCGATGGGATATACCCGGGCACCAAAGTTGAAAAACAATTGACCCCAAATGAACAAAGCCCTGGTGGACTTGAGCGGGTGTTGAATTCCTGGTTGGATTCAGACTTTTGGAGGGCCCCCAGCCGGCTTTCGATGAGCTTTTGGTCTCAGACCCCATCCTCTTTCGAGCGAGTCGAGCGAGTCGAGCCGTTTCGCCTCCACGATGGCTTGCTCGGCCGCCTTCTGCCTGGGCTCCAGCTTTCCGGGTGGGACCAGGGTTCACCCAAGCGCCAAAAAAACGAGAAGGAAGGCGAGGCTCTTCAAACAGCCCCCACCACACGAAGACGGATTTCCAACCCAAACACCCACACCAACATGCTTTTTGCTCTAAGAGGAAACCAACTCCAAAAATAGACTCAGATTCGGTTTTAACTCGTCAACTTCCTGACGAAAAAGGTACTTTCGACCCCTTGTTAGTACGGTTCGGGAGTCATCCAATTCCAACGAAAGGGGCGAAATGAAAACTGACAGTTGCCTATGACAAACACTTGGTGTTCCAATACCCCACAACCCCGTTCTATCTACCCTTCCTCCAACTAACATGACACCGGTGAGAAGGTATCTGGAGGATTAATTTCCTTTTGAAGGGACCCTCAGTTGCCATGTCAGTGGGAGGGAGGGGTAATGGGGGGGGGAAGTTCCAACTCCCGCATCCGACGCATCGCTCGAGCGGCTCTTCCCGGTGCTTTGCGGCGCGGAGCATCATCTCCAGGACCTGCGCCGGGATGCGGGTGGGGCCTCTTGGCCTTGATGAGATGTTCAGATGGAGAAAGAGAGCCATCCCCTTCTGGCCCGGAAAAAAGAAGAAACCAGACATGAGACAAATATCCAGCCATTGTTTTTTAAAATGTTACGCCAGAAAATGATAATGTGGGAAACCCGTTTTTTGTACATGGCCCTGGAACTGGAACGGAACCTCACGTGCACGGGGAGTGCTCAGACGGCTGCACCCATCCAGGGGTTGACTCAGCTGGAAGTTCTCCAGTCTCAAAAAGATCCGTCGGGCAACGAAAATCCGTGGAAGTCCAATGGTCAACCCATCCCATCCGATGGGGGGGTTCACCCATCCCCGGGCCTTTCCTGGGTCCTCCAGATTTGAGAGGTGCTGTACCAATTTTTTTCTGTCGATTTTAGTAGGGGAACCTCCCGTAAAAAAGTTGGTAAGAGGCCACTACTGGGGGACCTAGATGATTGCACAGCAGGAAGCTGGAAATCACGGCTTCACCCTTTTGGACCAAGGAGAATCAGGCCATCGCTTTGGACAAGAAGAAGCAGTGCAACCTACCCAGACCAGCGAAAATCCATGGGAAAAAAGGGGCTTGTGTACCATCAAACGACGGGCCGTATACATCAAATGACAAATCAGCGGATAGAGTTCTCCTTCCGTTTTGCTTGGGGGGGGGCTGGTTGATTTACGGGAAACCCGTCCAACGAAGAAAGGGAACGGGAAAGCACACCGAGCCTTCTGCGCCAAAGTGATGTCTGCCATGAGCTCGCGCTTCTTGCCGTCCCCACAGGTCTCGGATGGAACATCCCGAGGCATTTGGTTCTGGTTGGTTGAATTTAACAGGGAACCCTGGCCCAACAACCAAGAAAAAAGGGCGCCACTGGGCAACTCACTATGGTAAGCACACCAAAAAGTCGAAAGTGCAGGAAGGGGAGTGAGTGAACCACTAAACCAGGAGAAAAATGAACATCCCCAGCCATCAACCAAAGTATGGACAACAATAATTTTGCAGCCCAAACCAGAAATCAAGACAAGACCAGTCACTATACATGGCAGTGTTCTCAAACCGGAGCTCGCGGCACAATGCAAGCAATGAAAACTTTGCATTCTGCCCAAAGTCATGCAAAGAATCAAAAAGGGCGGACATACGCGGCAATTTATGATTGGGACTATCCCTTACTGATCTTCAGCTCGGCTCGTATGGGTGTTTCTCAAATAGGAATTGGTTCCAACTGGCAACGGTTTCTTTCGGGTTTCCCTTTGAATACGAACAGCTTGGCGGCTACCCAAGGTTTGCCTTGTGAGCTGGTGATTGAAAACTACAAACACAACACCAAGTCAAAGGTTCACCATCCAACCAATTCGCAGCCAAGAACGGTCTGCTCGTTTTTTCTTTTCGGATCCGACTCGGCCGGGCTGCGGCGAGGATCTCGTCCTGGACTTGATGCTCGGTGGCTTGCGCTGACCTGCCAACGCGGTCATGAAATTGGGGGTGTCGTCTTAAGTTGGGTACCCGGTTTTGCACTGAGTGGAGTCAAGAAGTTCCCATTGTAAACAACAGTCTCAAAATACTCCAAATGCAGCTGCCGACCCTTGCCTACACCTTACCATCTGACGGGAAATCACAGTGTCACGAGTCGATGTCTCAGGCTGCAAGGGGGAGGGGGTTGAGGACGCTTTTTTCTTGTTTTGGCGATTTGGCGGGGGAGCTGGCTCGAAATTACTTTGGGCAAATTCAATAGACCCAGTAGAGGGTGTTCACCATTCCTCCACTATCCTAGGCGAAAATAAGCACATGTTTGTCCATGCTTACACGCCCCATGTTTCCTTGAGATGCCGGGCGTGTCTTTGGAGAGATTTTGGGCTCAAAAGGACAGAGAACAGATTGGCCCGCAGTTGTGTTTAACGCACAACACACAGACCCCGATATATCAGCTTCCCTCTATTGGTTTGGAGGTGAGGGGGTGGTTTCCCGTTTACCCTCTGCATTGAAACCAGGGGTTCCCTTTTCTGCCGCCACAACCTAAACCACCAACGAAGAGTTAGCCGAATATAGTGGTTGGAAGCAGTGCGGAGAAGTTGCAGGCAAAGCAAAATCTCTAAAAAAACGCTATCCGGGTTCATACAAGCACCCCGCAAACAACAACAGCCACCAAAAAAAGGGCCAAAGGGAAGTCACCTTACCCTGATGAAAGACCCAAAACAATTGTCAAATGTATTACCCCTACACAACTGTAGAAACATCTCCAAACGGGTGTGTCTTTTTCGAGGGCACCTCTTCTTTGGTGGTTTTACAGCGAAACCAAAAGGAACACCGCAGCCCATTTTGGGGATTCCCCATTTCAAGAAAAACATACAAAAACAAGACACCCTCCAGCCCAGAGATGGATCGCTCAATCCGAAGCCTAGGATTTACATCGTTACCATAGAGGGCAAAGACAGTTTTCTGCCAAAGGTCAGGCCATCCATCTGTAAGCTGGAGTGAACGAACGGATCTCATCGCATCAAAAGGTGCTTGAACAAAACCATGTTTCCCATAGTTGTAGCCGCTATTGCAACTACTTGACTGGGGAAAAGGGCACCCGGGGCCCTCAACCTCGCGTGCCTTCGCTTCGGCCGAGTGGCAACTTCTGGTTGTAAGCGTCGGCCACCGCATGATGCAGCGTGGGAGAAGCCACGAAGATGGCTTCCTGGGCTCAGGTTTCAGGGTAAACTTTGGGGGGGGCCTTTCGACATCAATCTCAAAGAGGTGGGGGTTCATGTCAAACCCACTTTGGACCATTGAAATTGATAGCCATCGGGGGCGGTTAGTACGGGAAATGATGCATGGAACAGGATTTTTTGGGGCGTTTGTTTGCTTTTCTTTTGGCTTGGTCCGATGAGCACCTGGTTCATGGTTGCCTGCCTTCGGAGCGACAGTGCCCGAGATGTCTTTCAGCTGTTTCTCTGGGCCGTGCGCGATCACAGGCGTGGACCATGACAATAGCACAGCAAAAGCCGCCGGAGAGAGAGAGGAGGCTCTGGCTGTCAGAGCGCAGCAGCGCCAAGAAACGTTGTGCCTGGTGATGGTGTATGGTGCGCAGTCTCTCGGCCCGTGGGTGCCAAAACGGGGAGCCAAAGCGCGGAATGAGCCGTCCGGGCGGGGAGGGCGCCCACCTGGTTGGTTGTGTGGCACCTTTTCGGCTTCAGCCCGGTCTACTTGTTCGTCGTGCACTTCTGGACTCAGGTTTCCGCTGGAGGTCTGCGTGTTTTGTTGGTTTCCCTGTTCAAAAGGGCTTGATCTTTGGCCCTGGCCGGAGGTTTTGCTTACGGGTACTCCAGGCTTCATCCGAGCCTCGGTTCGACCGCTCACTCACTCACTCATTCGTAGTCATTCCACTAACAACCTTGCCAAAGAATCTAAGTCTGTTAGCTGGTAACCCTTGTCCCAAACATCTCCAAGCATCTGACCGAACACTGTGCTACCATCCTTGCCATCTGAAGTCGTGAAGTTTTCCTTGACTTTAACAAAAACAATGGAAGCTTGCCACATACATGTCAGCAGACAAGAAAGCCTCTCGCAGCCTCTTGAAAAGGGAACAAAACAATGCAACTGAAGAACGTGCCAGGGAAAGGTTACGCCCGTGGGCCGCTTTATATGATTTCCCGACCCAAAGTGTAGACCTCGACTTTATCCGAAGGACACAAAGGAACCAATCTGGGTGAACTACAAGGATTTGCCAACCAAATTTACGGGATCCAACTAAAATAACGGATCCGCTGAGAGGAACTTTCATCATGGGTGAGGCCGTAATCCTCTCATTTGCGCGGACACCTCATTTTCCAACCATTGTTCACCAGGGTGTTGTTCATGTGAAGCATGAGTCGTAGCTTGCATTGGGACCCAACATAGCTCGTGTCCTTTTACATTCCTGTGCAAGCATTCCCACATATACTTTCCCTTAAAAAGGACACACCCATGTGTGGTGGGGTTCGCCATGCCATTCATCACCAAGAGGCACCCAGCTCATTAAGACAGTCAATCTACAGATGCTTTTACCTTCTAACGAAAGTCTGTCAATCAGATTGATTTGAACATGCGAACTGATCCTGGCCCACCTGCCCAGAAGACTGTGAATCAGCTTGAGCTCCTGACTTTCACGTGTTCAGCGGAGAGTCGGGGGCTTTTGGGAGGTTGTGGATTTTCGGGGATGCGCTTAAGAACTTCGCCCCTGTCGATGCCCAGAGAAGTCCCAGGTGTGCCGGTCTCAAAGAGTCAGCCCGGTGCTTGTGACTTTTTGGCCAAAGCGCCGCCAGTAGAAACTGCCGTAGTGCCTGTCAGGGATTTGCCGAGTCTTTTGGGGTGCTTGGGGTGCTTTTTTGGGGGGGTGTTTGTGTTCTAATGACTCACATCTGGGTGTTTCTATTTGCTGGAAATGAGCAATGGACCTGGATTGACAAGGTGATCACCTGATATGCCCAAAGCTAGAAAACGAAAGGTCGGATCAAACCGTAGATTTTCCTTGGCCGCTTTGGAGCCCTGCCGCCTTCCCATTGCCCAGACTCAAGCCAACCGGGTTGCTCCATAGTTGGCAAAAAAGATCGGACACACAGATTTCTCGACGTGGCCAAAGAAGCCTGTCCCCACTTTTTGCCACTGACATTTTCGCCCAAAACCGAAAAGTTCTCAAGTTGGAAATCGGAGTGAGAGGGCCAGTCACCACTTCTCCGCGTTGTGAGGCTCGGAACTCTAAGGCTGAACTCGTGCTGCGGATCCTTGGGAGGGCCAAGCGTTACATCTTGATAGGAACGTTTGCTTTGATGAGTCGCTAGGTTTAAACACTTTCCTCGTTTTCTCCACGGGCCTCATGTAGTTTGAAGATCTTCTTGCTCAAGTCTTAACCCCCTGATAAGTAGAAGCTCCTCTCATCTTCTCATCTTTGGTGTGGGTGATCCAATTGTGCACGCCTTCCTTCCCCAATATCAGAAACTCGCGACCGGAAACGCCGCTTTGCAAGGGCTTTGCAAGGGGGGATGGGGGCCTGGCACTTCCTCAGCCAATCTTACATCAAGCCCTGCGGTTGGGATGGATAAAACTATACCAGTATAGCCGGCGAAGCCGGTGGGCGGAAGTTTCAAACATATAAAACTAGAGTTCCTTTTCTCATTTTTTCTTGATTCTTGCTTTCTTCTTCTTCCTCTTCATTGTTTCTTTTTTTCTTCGCCATTCTCTCTGTTCTTTTTTTCCTTGCCTTTCTCCCTTCTTTTTGTGTTTATTTCCTTCTTTCTGTCTTTGTTCTTTCTTTTCTTTCTTTCTTTTGCTTGGTGTTGCACCGTTCTTTCTTTTCGTGTGTACGTGTGTGTAGGCAGCTATCTATCCATCTGTCTTTTTTTCTCTCTCTCTCTACCACTGTATCTGGCTAACTATCTATCTATCTCTCTATCTATCTATCTATCTATGTCTGTCTATCTATTTATCTATCTATCTATCTACTATCCATTTATCTATCAAAAATCTATCTCTCTATCTCTCTCTCTATCTATCTACCTATCTATCCATCAATCTCTCTCTCTCTCTGTCTTTATCTGTCTATCTATCTCTCTCTCTCTATCTGCCTATGTGTCTATCTACCTATGTATCTTTCAATCTGTCTACTATCTATCTATCTATCTATCTATATCTCCCTCTATCTAAGCAATCTATCTATCTATTTATGTATGTATCTATTTACCATCTATCTATCTCTCTTTGTATCTATCTATCTATCTATCTCGCTATCTATCTCTCTATCTACCTCTCTATTCATTGATCGATCTATCTAGTCAATCTGTGACAGACCACGAAACGGTATTTGACCTTGCGAAAGTGCTGCGCCTGCTGCGAAATGTGTACTTGACCTTGCGAAAATGCTGCCCCTGCCACGAAATCTGCACTTCGCCTTGCGAAAATGCTGCGCCTGCCACGAAATCTGCACTTCACCTTGCAAACATGCTGCCGCTGCGCCTGCCACGAAATCTGCACTTGACCTCGCGAAAATGCTGCCCTGCCACGAAATCTGTCTTGACCTTGCGAAAGTGCTGCGGCTGCCACAAAAGTGCTGCCCCTGCCACGACATCTGTACTTGACCTTGCGAAAGTGCTGCGCCTGCCACAAAATCTGTACTTGACCTTGCGAAAGTGCTGCGCGTGCCAGAAACAAACAGCCGACCTTGCCAAGATGCTGCGCCTGCCACGCAGTTCAATCCTTGCGAAACCTTCGCGTTGCCGTGCCAATGGGCCGCGCTCCGAGACTGGTCCGAACGCGCTCCGAACGCGCTCTTTCTATTCTCCAACCACATGCGCGCGCGCATATTTTCTCGCGTGCATATTCCTTCTACTGTCATCTGTCTCAGAGAGAGCTAGCTTTCAATCAGTTGCCGTGACACGGAAGTTCCCTTTGACAAGACCTACCCACCGTGCGAAATGTGTCTTCAGTCCCTTGCCTTCCTTGTGACGACACCCCGCGTTTCGCGGGCTGAAGAGCACCGAGGCGCCTCTTCCGTGCCGAAGTCAAGCACGAAGCCCGCGGTGTTCTGACTTGGCTGTCCGCTGGAAAGCCTCAGGCCGCGCAGAGGGGCAGAGGTTTGAAGCTGATCTTTGAATCTCACTAGGAATCGGACCCGTGGATTCGGTGTTCCTTTTGGTCCCTCCCTTGAACTTGAACAGAACAATAGGTGTGCCAACTCCAAAGAAAGGAACCCCCCCACAGATTGGCAAAAGGACTTTCAGCTGTTCCTGCAGCTTTCTTTTTGGATCCGGACAAACAACAAATCATGGCTTCCCCACAAAAACCCACCTGGAGTGGGGGCCGTTGGAATGTGACCCCACTGTTTGAGGCTCCAGAAAAAAACGCAGATGAGTCGCAACGCCAAGTTGGAAGATTTCGGCGAGGTTGGGCCAAGATCTTGTCCCTGATTCGATTCCAAAGGTGTTTCTCTTGATTCTTCAAATGTATGGGGAACCAAAAGGAGACTCCAAAACTCAGAGAGCAGTCTATGTCAAGAACAGCGGTGCGACAAAACATATTCGAGGATTTGGTGGTGGCTCAGAAGCACAAGCGCTCGCAGCTCCGACTGCGTGAAACAAACATAGATGGAGACTCCTGCTTAAAATACAACTGAATACGACCGAGATTAATGAAATACTTCCTAAAGTCGATGCGCTAGTGATATTGTTGTTTTTGCTCAATTATTTGTTAGCAAGCAGTGGGTTGGTACAAGCTGCTTCAAGAGCTGGGAGAATGACAGCGATTCAAAACTTTCGCTTTGAGGATCAGAGATTCCGATGGGCGATTCCACTGGCTCGGGAGTATTTTCCGAAAGAGGACAGCGGGGTTTCGGATCCAACGCCAAGGCGCAGAAACAGCGTGCCCGGCCCGAAGTCCTGAAGCGGGCGCTTTGATATCCGGTGGGATATTCGTATCCATTTGGATGGGAAGAAAAACCAATGAGGTCTTGAACCCAAGGCTTAGGCCCAAGCTTTTGGAGGTAAAAAGCTGACGGGGTGCCACGTGATAAGGCAGTTGGACTTCACGGCAAGCTTTGTGAGACAGACCTAGGAGAAATTGTGCAACTCTTGCAGGTCCGATGTTTTTGCCACAGGCCCCATCCCTGGGTCTCCAGAGTGGGCCCTACAGCCCGGCCTGCCCTATGGTTTCCTCTTGGGGGCATTTCAAACCCTCTCCCCCAAAAAGAAGAAGAAGAAAAAGAACAAGAAAAGGAAGAAAAGCAATTTAAACCACAATGCATCGAAAAGACCACCCAGAGTCACGATACAATACGGCTGAAAGGTGCCAACTATCTCTTGCAGAGGTTAAGGCAAACAACAACGCTCCGATTGGGTGTCGGCGCGCGAATTTTCAGGCCAGAGTTTTGTTTCGGTCTTACTGTCACAGCCATGAGCGATCCTTCTCGGAATCTATTAAAGCTTTTGGATCACAGCCCAATTGGCTGGCACAAGCACTTCTATACCGCGCCAAATTGGCATCAAGCCCAGGCAAACTGTCATTGTGCTTCACAGACAATGCGTTCAACCACGGCTGGCAGGGATACAGTGCGGTGTTCTTGCCATTTGGCTGGCGTGGATACAGCGCTGTGCGGGTGCACTTGAACGGGTGTTGTTTCCATTTGGCTGGCATGGATACAATGTTGCGCGGGTGCACTTGAAGGGGTGTTCATTTGTCTGGCATGAATACAGTGCGGTGCGGGTGCGCTTGAACAAGTGTTCCGCGGGTGCACTTGAACGGGTGTTCTTACCATTTGGCTGTCACGGATACTGTGTGGTGCAGGTGCGCCTGAACGGGTGTTCTTATCATTTGGCTGGCTGGGATACAGAGCGGTGTGGGTGCACTTGAACTGGTGTTCTTTCCATTTGGCTGCACTTGAGCGCCCCTGGGCGGGGTGTGTCCGATTTCTATCTCAGGTCGTCGAAAACGGGGCGTGAACGCGCCACATCAGGGGGGAAGGCATCTGAAAAAGGCGCGGGGCGACACTCCACCGGAGGGAACAACAAACTGATCAGGTTCGCCCCTCAACGACTTCCCGGCGAGCAGTGGTCGTTAAAACAATTCGATGCCTTGTTGCAGGGATCCAAGACAAAAAGGGGTGTGTCGTGTTTTGGGACCAAAATGGGGGCTTCCCTTTTGGTTTCCCCACAAAACCTTTTGGTTTCTCAAAAAAAGTAGCCAAGACACGCCCAAATGGATTTTGCTTGGGCTCTCACTTGAATCTTTCAGAGTGTCAGGGGTTCATGGAACTCCCTTTGGCCACATTCACAGGTTCAGCGCCGGCTACGGCGAACGCACAGGTCTACCGGGTTGGTAGGTGAGGGACGGTCAAAATTACAAGAAGGTCTCTGTAGAACATGGGAAAATTAGAGCTCGCCCCCTCCTTTTTCTGGAGAACTCCCACGAGTTTCCCCCTTTTCTCCCGAACCATGTTGCAGCGCTGCGTTCGAAAGACACACCAAAAGTGAGGGAAAGCAACGGAGTCAGCACACAGGTAGCGACGTGAAAAGCAGCTTGAAGGCAAGCGCATCTTGTATAAAACAGCTTCGCACAAATGCTGCGGCTTTCTATGAGGTGTCTGCTAAGCGTTCAGGCACTATCTGGCACTGAGGATTGTCCAAGGCTTCTCCGCTCACTCAAACTCAGACGCATCCGTCGCTTTCCCATCTGGGTGGCGGTTTTCAGTCCCTGTAACTTTGCTAGCAAGAGTCAAGGTAGTTCTGGAAAGGGCAAATCAACCACGCCCCTTCTGCGAGCATCCGCGGGAAAAAAACACCGCAAACCTTCCGTGGTTGTAGTGTGGTACTAGCGTTCTTGTTGATATGTCAACCTCTGGACATTTTTGCTTGAGCCGGAAGTAAAAACATTTGCCACTCACCTGTTGGACCTTGCCACAGGGCTCGCCGGGGCGTGTGTCTTTACTGAATTGCTCCAAAGCCAAGTCTGAAGCCAACTGCTTAGCCTCAAGGGTGAGCCCATTGCTCAGGTCCAAAGCAGAGTGCAAAAAGGGGATCGGAGTGTGGCCTTCGCCGCCGACTCCCGGCGAAAGCACTTTTGACAGCCGAGGTGGGCTCCACACGGATCATGCAATGTGTCCAACTGGCGGGTTTTTGGTTGCAGTCCTGCTGCAAGCTTGAAAAGATCGAGTCGGAACTTCCTTGATGCGAAGCCAGCCACTGAAAACGCTGGACAAAGCCCGGCTCGTGACATCAAGTCTCAACGCGCGCCAGCCTTGCAAGTGTGAGCGCTGGTCACTTGCAATGTTGCCGTTGCTGCAAGGCAAATGTCCAAACCAACAAGGTATGAGCGAATGCTCCTTGTAACATCTAAGACTCCTCCTGCAAGCCTGAGCATATTCCATTCTAAGCAACCTCATGCGAGCCAGCCACACTAGATGCAAACCGCGCCCCTGAAGCAAATCCCGACGCGCCAGCTTCGAAAGTATCACAGCTGGGAAGTTGCGGCGCCGCTGCTGCAAGGCAAGCGTCCAAGTCAAAAAGGTCAGAGCGAATACGCAGGGCAGCACCGCGTCTGCCAACCACAGCGGTCTCCAGCTTGAACTTGCCACGAAGTTCTGGAGCTTGACGTTTCCAACTTTGCTCAAGTCAAGGCAACATGATGATCATGATGATCCTCCTGATGCCATCTATTGCTCCTCCTGGCAGCTAACACAAATGCTGACACAACCATATTTCAAGCAGCCTTGGAACAGGTGCGATCGCTGAGGTGAGTCTCAGCCTTCGTGGCTTCTTGGCGAGCAGGCTCCGCAAACTCGCGCAGCCAGAAATTCACCAAGCTCTGGGCACAGCCAGGCCCGCCGGCTTCAACAACACTGGCACATGGAAGAGTCTTTCCAAATCACTGCCATCCGAGCCGCGCCTGCACCTGCTCATTTCAAGCCGCAGGTCTGGCGTCGTTACGAAGCTTACTCAAGATGCAAACTCCGGCAAGCTTTCTTGATGCGAAGCCAGCCAGTGATGCAAATGATGGACCAAACCTGCACATTGAATTGAACCTCAGCGTGAGCCAGCCTTTTTTTGCATAACTGCTCGGAAACGGCTTCAAAGCAAGAAGCCAACCACCTCAAAAGAAAGGCTTGAGCACTGCGTGCGACCACAGAAGCAGAGCTTTAGACTGCATCTTGTGGCATGGGCGGGTTGGGTCCCACGGTCTCGTTTGCTCAACTCTTCTCCCCACGCCACGCCATGCCATTGGACACTGCTCCTACAAGCCCAGACAATACCCCTTGCTACGTGCCTTCTTTGCTAGTCTCATTCGAGAAAGATGGTGCGCTTGGTTCTACAGAAAGGCTTACTTTTCTATATAAGATACAATGGGCCGCCCTCTCATTCAAAGCCGGCTTTTAGGTAAGGCATCCAATTTCAAATGTGTGAGAACTGCGTCTGCCAACCACAGATTGAGCATGTTCTGCTGCGAATCACAATTTTGCCCCCACGGCAGGCATGTAAGTAAAGGGGAAGCGTCCAAGTGCATACGGCTACACCCCCCCCTTTTCACACCCTACGAAAGCCCTGTCCCCGTGAACGGTCCGCAGGCCCCTGCGTAGACCTGCGCGAAAGCCAACAGCAGCACGAACCCAAGCAAGTGCTCCCCCAAGAGACTTCTACCGCTCGGCACTCTGAACACTCAGACGGCATGGACTCAACTCTCGCCAAGCTGCAAGGCTTCCAACTCAAAAGGTCGGAGACCAACAGGACAGCAGTGGCGAAGCTTGCTGCGAGGCTCTGGGATGACTCATGGCGTCCAATGGCTCCATGCTTTGCTCAAGGAAACATCATGCCAAGGTTGTACGCGCGGAGACCTTGGCACGACCGCTGCAAAGCAACATGGAGGGAAATCTACGCTGCTATTCCACCTGTCCTTACAAGACACCATTCCGGCGCAATTGTGGCTTGCGTCGGCTGACAGGTTCTCAAAAATGCCGTGCAGCTTTCTATGAAGCAAGGTGTCCGTAAAGCGTTTAGCGCTCGCGATGCTCTTGGTTGGACGTAGGTAGGCCCATCCGTCGCTTGTTTCCCATCTATCGGATTTGGACCTAGCTACAGGGCTCGCTTGGGCCGCATGTCTTTCTAAGTATCAAACATGCCCTCTCCTGCAGACTGCGCTGCTGGACATGATAGCCTCAGAAAGGGGCAACTGTCGGCAAGGACCTTCGCACCTTGCGGCATCTCCGGTGGGAATCCACGCCTGTCAATTTATGTGGGGAATGCCCCCCCGCTCTCAGGAACAAGATGAGCGATCAACTTTTCAAGGCAGCCGACGGCGTTCAAGCCACGCAAAGAAGGGAATTGGAGTGCGGCCTTGCGCACCGACTCCTGGCCAAATCAAAGTAGAGAGACATGGTGCGCGTTCACATGCCCGCGTCTGCGCACCTCGCGCCCCATCGGCACGTAGATTCTGGTCGACTTGTTGAGGAGCGTCGCCCGAAAGTTGGATCCAAGCATTCTTTCGGGGATTTTCCCCTGGTGATGTAGAGTCCAGAACTGTAAGCTTGAACAGGTGCCATGCCAAGAAGCTCTTTGAAGTCGACACTTCCTTGCGAAGCCAACTGAAGCAAGCGCTAGACAAGGACTGCATCGTTAGATTAAGTCCCAATGTGCCCCAGCCTGGAAAGCGTGAGCGAGGAAAACTGCGGCGTGTCCAACTCAAAGAAGTCTGAGCGAATGCTCCTTGTGACATCTAAGACTCCTCCTGCAAGCCTGTGCATATTCCGTTCTAAGCAACCTTCTGCAAGCCAGCCACAGACCAAATGCTAGATGCAAACCGCGCCCCTGAAGCAAATCCCGACGCGCCAGCCTCGAAAGTATCGCAGCTGGGTAGTTGCGGCGCCGCTGCTGCAAGGCAAGCGTCCAAGTCA